TCCCTCTGGCCTGCCTGCGCTTTGCTCTTTACCTGTATTCAAAGGGTATTAAAAAAAATTAACAAGCCCTGACTACATAAAAGGAAGTTGCTGAATTTACAACCCAGCCTGCAGCTAGACCACCTTGCCTGCCGAGCAGGTTTGGACCAGGCCAAGTCTGCCATGGGAAACCCACTGCGGAGCGGCAGGCTGATCGGGGAGGCTGATGGGGCGACAGGAGATGGGGCTCCAGCCCTGCTCTGCCGCTCCTGGGCTGCGCCGCGGCCACGCAGCCCGGCAATGCGGGCAGTGCCCTCCTGCAGTGGGACCCCGGGCTGGAGCCTCCCCGTCGGCGCTCTGAATCTGGCATTGAGAATCCCAGCATAGTGAGAATCCCGCGTCAAAGGCAGGCTGGCATCCCTGGAGCCTGAGGGAAATTCAGCCAGGCTCATTGCAAGCTCGTCTGCTATTTCGCTCATTTGCTCTCTGGTAGGAACTGCAGCGCTTCGGCACCCTGAGCTGTGGCTGGGAGACGGAGGCGGCTGCACGTCAGCGGCAAAAGCAGCGGTCGCGGGTGCTTGGACTCTCTCTCGGGGGATGCTCCCGGCCAGCACTGGCCTGCGTTTCCGCTTTGACTGTCACACGCCAAATTCATTTAAGGGACATCCACCGCGCAGCGGGCAGATGTAATTGAGGGGAGCAGCAAAGCAGTTTAAAGATAGGCACAGAAGCCTGCGGAGCCTGAAAGCAGGCAGGAAACCCATCTTAAGCGTGTTCCTTCCTTTGAGGCTGAAGCTGAATCCCACAATATGTTTTCTTCCCACTAATGCTTGCCTAGCTTCCTTTGGAAACAATTTCGTCTCTGCCCATGGTAGAATGTTTTTATCCATTAAGAAACGGATATTTTAAAGAAACCATAAGTCGATCTGGACAGGGATTAGGAAGCAGCAATTCAGTGTATTTGCTGGGCCCATAATTCAGGACTTAACCTCAGAGCAGCCACGTTGCATTTCGGAAACAATAGGGCACTCGCTGCCTATGCCAAGAGGCTTCTTAAAAGTAATGTAATACTTTAAAAATGTATATTTAAAAAGAAAAAGAGAGAGAGATTTTACTTTAAATGCATATGGTGAAGCATTCTGCTGATGGCTGGCCTGTGTTAAAAACATTGCACTGGCTTTAAGTAATGAATTGGAAATCGAGCTGGTTAAAGCTGAGCAGTTTCCCCATCAGGAGATCTGAAAGCTCTTCACCAGCAAAGACAACGTCTCCCAGACCGTTGAGCAGACACTGAGGCTGGGAGAGGCCAGGATGGAGTTTGCAAAAGGATCCAGTGTTTACTGCTCTCCCTGTGAAGTCAAGGGGATTTGATTTCGCTGGAGCAATATGAAGAGTGTGCAAGGGGATGTTAAGTGCATTCATCAGAACAGCTTGCTCTGTTGCTGAGTAGATCAAATTTAAAATCACTTTGCAATTGTCCTCGTGTACACAAGGCCCCTACATGTTGCCGGACAATGCACACAATTGCTTTTGAGTGGTTGAAGATGTTTCCACCACAAAGCTAGAACACAGGAGCCGGCTGCGTGGGCGGTCCTCCTCTGTTGCAATGGGAATAAAATGGTTCAGCATGAACCACTGCTGAAACACGGGCAAGGGCAAAGCGTCACGCGGAGAACTGGGGGCTGCTAGGACCATCCCCGTTCTCCCCAGGAGGACGTGTGTCTGTCACCATCCCACCTCCCCAGAGCAAGGGGGCCCCGAGAAGCAGCCGAAGGCGGGCAGAGGCAAGCTCCTTTAACATCTTGCTTCACTTTTGAGAGCTACTTCATTTTTTTTAAGCTAGAAGACAAAACTCGAAATGAAGCAAGCACGCAAGGCTCTGGCTTCGCGTGCCCCGTAATAAGGAACCATTTCAAGCCATCCTAATGACAGCTTGGTGTCTCGCTGTGGAGACGGGAGAGCCGGGATTTCAAAACCTCAGATTTTCCAGACCTCACTGGAGAAGTATTGGGCCAAATCCTCAACGGAGGCAAATGGCTCTGCTCTGCTGAGGCCAGGAAAGCAGCACTGGCTGACGCTAGATGAAGGTCTGCCTGTCCTACCTGCCTGGCTACCGGGTCAGATTCTCATCACAGCTACACTGGGGTGAACCCAGAATTACTCTATTTTCCCCCCAAAGTAGTGGAAATGGGAATGAAATCTGGTGTGTGAAGGGCTGCAAAAGTCTGTCCCGTTGGCAGACAGGCATGGGAAGGGATTGATTCTCTGCCCATCTGCACGGGGTAAGGCAAGACTGAAGCCACTGAAATACGCTGACACCGGGCAGTGGGAAACCAGCACGAGAGCAGGATCTGACCCGCTCGGCCACGGTGCTGAGCACGCTCTCCTCCCATGTTTCCTGGCATGCCCTTCAGAAACGATCGGTTTTCTCTTACCGGGAGGTTTTTGGTTTGAGACCATTTAACCTCAGGATGATCGTTTTACGTGGGGGCTATTTATAACCTCCAGGGGCTGCTTTACTGAAAGTCTTCTGCAAATGGCTGGGGGCCAGATTCCTCCCCCGTTTACACCAGCGTCCTTGCTGTGATCTCCACCGCGGCCGCAGCCTTCGCTCCCAAGGAGGAAAGACTGGAGTGGGCCAGAGCAAACACACCTCCAAAGGACCTCCATTCCTCTCAAAGATAACCGCTGTCTCCTACGTGCCCGCCTGCGTCAAAGCCCAAACTCCACGTGCTGCGTTCGGGGATTTGAGGTGCCTGAATCCCCCCTCGGTGGCCGAGGCTGTTTCTGAGCATCTCGGCTCCCCAGCCTGGTTTTGCCAGAAGCGGATTAGGAAGCGCTTGTGCAAACTGCTTGGTCAGCAGAACCGGGAGGCCAACCACCTCCGGCACACGAGCGGAGGGCTGCCGGGCGTAGGTGCTCGCAGAGGGAAAACCTGCCTCCCCCTGGCCCCCTTTTAATCCCTGCACAGAGACGCAAAGATGCTAAAAACATGAAGGCTGGGCAGCACCCAGGTAAAGGCCAGCAGGGGCCGGATGAACTCCAGCCTGCCCCCTTCGTCCCGCCTAACCAGTATCTCGTTATGCTTTTTGCTAATCGGCTTCTCGTGTGTGTTACCTAAGAACGTGCCAAGTCGCGAGAATTACAGGCCTGTTAACTCCTGTATTATTCTTGGCACAGGCCAGGCTCCACTTGCTTGGGTAAAAATTATGATCTTTGTGAATAAGCTGTGTGTGTGAGAGAGAAAGAGGGTTTTTTTTTTACTATTATTATTATTATGATTGGTTATACTCAGCGTTGTGTCAAAAGGACAGGGCTGAGATTAAAATTACTGAGCTGATTCTGCTCCCAGTTACGCGGGTAAGAACCCACAGTAATTTCAAGACAGTTCCTCCAACTTGGGAACAAGGGAGCCAAGAGCAGAGCGTGCACGAACTGCCTTTTGCAGCATTCCTGGTACTTTGGATTCACTCCGCAGGAATGATTTTAGATGGCTAATTTTGTGTGTCTCCACTCCTGCTGTCACTTGACATTTGGGAATTTGGCACGGACGGTAGCTTGTGGCCAGTTTCATTTTTCTCTTGTTGAATTTATGTTTTGGGTTTCTGGCACTACAGGGGACTGTGCTAATTTAAAATACGCATCTTTTTTTCTTCCCCCAAGAATCTCTTTCTTTATTAAGCAGCCAATGGGACGAGCCTATAAAACTCTTTCTCTCTCTCCCTCTTGCTTTTTTTAACAAAAATCAAATGATAATCCTACACAAAATGCCCGGGTTCTTCTCATAAACCGTGCTAATATCAATGAAAATTCCAAGCATAAAGATTTGCATTTCAATGAGAAATAAATTAAATTTTCACTGTAATTTTGGGTTGGGAGGAGCGGGGCAGCTTTTACAGTTCGGGTAACGTTTTCAAACATGTTTTTGCGCCCGAGACACCCGCTTTGCCAATGACACTGAGGTTTTCAAACGCCTGCGTCACTTCTGAAAATGCAACACAAAGGCTTTTGGAACTTTTCATATGAAACCTTCCAAGAAGGGCCACTTTTCACCAAAACTCAAAATGCAAACAGCTTAAGTACTATCCCTTAAATGCTCATTAGCATTTCTGCTGATTTTCAAAGGAAAATACCACCGAGATTAAAAATGCATGGAAAAGGAGCACGTCTCCGGTGTGGACAGGAGAACGGTCCCTCTCCATACGTCCTGGTGGCATCTGGCTGCGCTGAGAAGCGCAGAAAGCCGGGAGCAGCAAAGCGGCTGGGTATTTTCCAATGCAATGCTTAGTCTGGGGCTGAAATTCAGGTGCACGGGAATGAGCAGACTGACCTCTCTTGGGTAACTCCGGTGGCAATCCCTACCTCTTTCCTGGCAAGAAGCTACGATGCAGATTCACAGGGAACGCCCCAGGGCTCAGCTACGCCGATGGCAAATATGGGAAGAGCAAAGCCTCTGTGTGTGTGTGTGTGTGTGTGCGCACGCGTGCGCCCATGCAGGTGTGCATACGTGTGGGGAATTATGCTGGAGCTGGGTGATGGATCACCAGACTTGGCATAAACACAACGCAACAAGATAAGAAACCATTTGGATTAGCATGTAAAGTATAATACACCCTTTCTAGTTGATGCTTAACCGTCTACGCGGGTGCCTTCATGTCAAAGAAGCTACTGGAATGAAAGTATGTTGCTCTGATCTCTCTCGCATGCCTGCTGAAACTCAGTTTTTCCTAACACCCCGTATCTAATGGTGCACAGAGTGAAATCGCCTGGGTTTATGACTCAGCAGCCGTCTGCTGATTTAATGGGCACAAAAAGGCTTCCAGGGTCAAGAACCCAACCAAACCCCTCCCTGGCTTGTCCCCCCGGCAGGGCTCCGTACCCAGGGGAGAGCTGGACTCCAGCCCTAAGACCCCATCCAGAGGGAGGCTCGCTCAGCCGGGACGGCTCCGCTCCCTGCCCAGCCGTGTCAGGAGCACGAGGGTTGGGGGTGCGACGCCAGGCTGGGGCACCCAGCCAGTTACCTTGTATTGGAGTCTGAGCCTGGGACCCAAAGTGGCTTGGGGTGCTGAGGGATCCGCGGGGGTTGGGTGTTGTTGGGGTGACTCTCATGGACTGGCGCAGCCGTTCCAGCTCCCCGTAGCGGTCGGTGAAGGGTTTGGCTTGGTCTTCTAGCTTTTGTCTGTGCCCTGGAACATGATAAGAGAGTCTGATATCTAATCAGTTACCCTTTGGCTAGAGCGCCCTGGTTAAACACAAAGTCAGCGCAGCCTCCATCTTCGCGGTTTGCTATTATTCGCACGGGGAGTGCGTGGCGGCCCCGGCGGAGATCGGCTCCCCGGGGGCTTTGCATGGCACACGCACGCGGGAAGAGCTCGCGGTTCAGACAGACGAAGCCTGCTGAAGAGGGGACACAGACTGACCCATGCGGGAGGCCCCAGATCGCCCGGCAAGTCAGCGTTCATCAAGAAGCGGGACGTGGGCGCCAGGGTCAGGATGCCCTGTGCCGTGCCCGAGCGACCAGCCCTCACTCGCTCCGAACAAGGAGGGGAGACGCGTGCAAGGCAGGAGAAACCCCATCTCCTGGCAGGGTGGTGATTGAGGAACCAGCAAAGGAAACATTGAATTTTAGGTATTTTCTACAGAGTTTGCTCGGTGCACAAAGAATAAACTCTGGTCTTACTCCAGCCGCCTCCCCAGCTCTGCCCACCCAGCGGGGCCAGAGCCAAGCAGGGCTGGAGAGGGTGCAGGAGGAGAGAAGGGAGCAGCCTGCCCACGGCACCGCACCTTGGCCATCTCACTTTGCTGCTTTCTGTTCCTCTTTTCCTACCCGTAAAATGGGGAGACTATTCACCTACCTCCCCCAGGCAGGGCAGCAACTAATGAGCGTTTGTAAAGCACTCCCAGCTCCTTAGGTAGCAGCTGCTGGAACAGGGCAATAATTATTAAATTTATGCTAATTGTCCCGAGGCAAGAGGCGCATGAAATACACTTGATACATAACTTTCGCATTTTACTATATTAATCATCGCCGAACAGCTTCACTCTCTCTGGGCCGGATTCCAGTCTCAGTTACACCCGCACAAAGCTGGAGGGACTCCAGAGAAGCTGAAGCTACTTCAGTTTTACATCAGTGCCGGGTTCAGACCTCGGATTCTCCTCGCTCTTTACCTGCCGCAGCAGACGGCCATGCAGCACCCCCAGCTCTCTGCACCTGTCAGGCAAGGACCTTCCCAAGGTGGCAAACGCCTTACCCCAGCGTAATCGGGAGCAGAGCTCGGGGGCACTGGAGGTGTGCAGGCACGCCGGGGAGCTAGGAGAGGAGCTGGGAAGAAACCCTCTGCAGCTCTTCTGAGAGCTGAGCCTTATCAGATCCAGCCCTATGGCCAACATCCACCAAGCCAAGCTCAGTTCTCGGTGGCTTGTAAGAAAAGCGATGCACTTGCAACGTGAAAAACGCAGCCACCTCTTGTTCGCACCCCCCTTCCCTCCCCCCTTCACATCTGCGTGGCGTGAGCTCGGTGTCAATTTATAGCCAAGTCACAGAAAGTCCCCAGACTTCCCCCTCTTTAAATCTGATGTCTGATATCTTCTGATCTTGCATTTGCTTGGCTCGCCGCGCTCAGGCTGCGCTTGCCAGGCTGTCTGCAGAGACGCCGGACAGCTTGGACGGGAGGGGAGAGCACCGACTCCGGAGGGGACCTCGTGCTCCCAGCTGAGCTCCCTGCCACGGCAGCGCTCCGCAGGGGTCCCGACAGCAAACCGCCCCAGCCGCAGTTTTTGAGGGGCTTTCACCCTCCTCTGGGAGCTCCGCATCCAGGCCAGCCCCACCATCCCACCCCCCGCTATAATCCCAGGCTCCCGCGTGTGTAAAAGTCCGAACTGCACAAAAACGTGCTGATGCCAGAGAGCGAAACTCAGTAAGGACGAACTCCCAGCAGAAAGCAAAACCCAGCGGTATTTTGAAAATGTATTTTCCCTGCTGCGTGAAGTAAACCAAGGAAACCTCAAATCAACACCATAAACGATCTCTTCTAATCTCTGTGCGTCCCTAGACCTCGGGCATCTCTGCGTTATCTGAGGGCCTTCGGAGACGTGAGCAGCATCCGTCACACGGTATTGGTGCTTTCCCCAAGGGGCAAAGTGTGCGCAGTGAGGTGTCTTGTTTTGGTCCACATTTTATTATTTCAGTATACATTTGAGCACAGAAGAAGAAAAATAGGTTTACGTTTTTCCTTTCAGCAGTTTTCTCAGGCAGAGCCTAGCAGAGAAGCCAAAAGAACTTCAAAGATCAAAAGTTCCACAGAAATTTAATGGAAATTAAATTCTCTGCCTCTATCTCAGCTGAAACCCTATCCTGCGGTAGTATCTGGCATGTGACGGAGAAAATCCTGAAAAATAAATCAAGTGACCTCTATGCTGATATTGTGTTTGAAGATTATTCAGCCGTACAACTTAACTGAGGGCTTCATGTGGCTGCATCATGCTGCGCTGTGGTCGCCCCGGTCCCCATGCTGTCTGAGCGCGGGCACAGCCCCGTGGGGTTTTTAAGCCTCAAGTAAATAGCAGTGCTGTACTTACACCCTCTAAAAGGGGCTGGTTTGTGGGGAGACCCAGCAATTACCAGCACAACCCCCAAAAGCCTAAAACTGTCCCGATAAAAAGAAAGTAGAAAACTTGAGGCAAATATAAGGCAAGGCAAACACAGGGGCTCATTTAGGAGTGAAATCCCAGAGCTGCGGTGGGATCAGGACCCTTCCCGGCTCTCCTAGACCCTCTCCGGTTCGTATGCCACCCCATCGATACGGGTGGGACCGGGCAGCACTAAACTGTAGGAAACAAGGCAGTGCATGAGTTAAACCCCGCAGCGCGGGCCGCCAGCCCTGCTGGGTGCAGGCTGTCTCCCCAGGACTTCCTGCCACTTGTCACTTAGAGCTGGGGACGTCAGACTTTGTCACGCAAGAGAGAATCGCTATTAATGGGTTTCTTTCATCAGAACAACCTGAGCTTTTTAATTTCTGCAGCGGTTGGCTTCATTAAAAGCCCTTCCCCATCTGCCCACAGCTGTCATGGAGAGGAAACCAATGCCGTCAAGCGAACAATAGCTCATACCTTAGAGAAGAGGAAGGTGGTTTCTAGCTTAACCCAAGGACTGACTCAAAGCCTCCTGAAGCCAGTGGGCGGATTTTCAATTGACTTCAAACAGCTCCAGACCTCATCCCAAGAAATCTGTCTGAGAAGTCTTCATCACCCCGACCTGTGAATTTTTGGGGCATGAAACCTGCTGTTGGGTTGGAGGTTTTGCACAGCGTTTCCAGCTGTGCTAGCACTGGCTTGCAGGTCAATATTTATGGAAACAACAGTCCTTAGCACTAGAAAATGATGGCAGCTACTGACCTTAGGCACTTCTTGTCAACAGCGCGAGGGTTTTAACGCTGGATCGGGTTTCCGAATCAGTTAACTCCAATATTGAACATGACATGATGTAAACATTGACAGATCACCTACGATCCTGATGTAATAACAAGATCTGTATCAGCATATCAAACAAACGATCCCATTGAACACCTCCCAGCTGGAAGAGCCGACGTGAATTTGACACTTTAGGCCAGTAATAAGAAGCATACTGGAAGTTTTGGGTGTTTTCTTGGAATGCAGACAGCGAAACAGTGTGTGCCGCACTGGAGCTCAGGCCCTCAAAGCTATGATTTAACGACATGCTTTCTGCATTAAAACATTTCAAAGACCAAACAGACCCTGCTCTTCCTTCTAGGAGTGTGCAACCTGACGTGGCTTCCAAGCTGGGACCTGGATGGGGTTTCCAGGCTGGGGGGGTGGCCATGGTGTTCACCAAAAGCAGCTTATTTCCACAGATTACTGAGATGCAGAATATAAAGTTGATCAAAGGTAGAAAGGGGCTCCAGGAATTTCATGGCTTGAGTGATACCAAAATCTCAGAGCTGGCAGATTTGATTTGAAAAAACACCCTCCGGGGTGCCTGGGGGTCGCGGTCCCCTGATTTAGCTGTGTTTAGATGCATATGGGGTTGCTGTCGGGAGAGGCAAGGAGCTGCACAGCCTGCTCTCTGCCCTCGGCGGGCTGGAGTGTGGGTGTCACGTCCATCCCCGTCCCCTGCCGTAGCCTCATGCTACCAACGGACGGGAGAGCAGATGGTGGGAAGTGGCTTGGCCCTCCCCAGGCGCCTTGCTGCGAAACACTGGCGGCAAGCTGGAGCGAAGGAAACGCGGAGCGTTTCAGCTCGGAGGGGGGATGTTCATTAACACACACATTTGCAGATCATTTCCTTAGCTCCACTGAGGAGGAGACAAGAACCAGGAGACGGTAGTGTGGGCTGGGGCAGCAGCTCGAGCCGAGCCATCAGTGGCCGCAGAGGCCCCCGCTCGTCCACCACAAAAGCAAGGCTCCAAGCACCCCACCGGCAAGCTCCCCCCCTCCTTCACCCAAGGCTCTGCTCAAATACGACCAGCCAAACTCCACGGCTTAGCCGAGAAGGAGCTCACCAGGAGCAGCCTGTGCAGCCATGCCGCACACAGCCCAGTGGCTTAGTCTCTACACGTCTGTGAGAATGGACCACAAGAAAGCGATCAGCAGTGGATAAAACTCCGGCTCAATGCGCAAAACACCTTTCAAATCCCTCTTGTAGCCCTCAAAATAGGTACTTCAGAGAGACACGCCAATCCTCTACAGAGGGTTGAATTTTTTCCCAGTCTGAGTCTCGGCTAGACTATCAAGTCCCAGCATGTGCTCCAGAAACAAGCCACATGTGAAACGCCTGTGTTATGGGAACAGCAGGCCTGTCCCTTACAGCAGATGTTGGGGTGGTTTCATCTTTGCACACCTATAACAGAAGACATGAACATCCCTCAGGTCTTCCCTGGAAACCCACCTCCGGCTCGAGATCCGCCATGGGAAATTCCTGGCCAAGAAGAATTTGGTGGAGCCCCATGGCCAGCGAAAGAGGGAGGGGAGGACAGCGTGGAGACGGGAACCAGGCTGCCCGCGGTGCCGGCAGCTGGACGGGACTCAAACATGACGTCTCCACGGAGGAGGATGGAGATCTCCGCTGAGCTCCGGTGAGCAGCAGCAGCCGGCAAGTGCCAGCGCTACTTCAGCCCACTTCTAAAGCTGAAGCCCAGAAGTTCACAGGAGGGAGCGGGAGGAAAATGTT